AGACAGCTTCTGGTATTCTAACAGATTACAAACAATCTTATCCAGGTATCACTGTGTAGAGTAGAAAAACAATCTAGTTTTAGACAGCTTCTGGTATTCTAACAGATTACAAACAATCTTATCCAGGTATCACTGTGTAGAATAGGTAATCTGTTAGTCTACTGTATTCAGTACTAAATGCTAAACCTACAATAATAGTTCTTTATGTATTACATAAACTGCTGATTTTCACACATTATTATTAATTTAAACACGTAGTGTTATTGTGTATTCAAGACACTGGCATTGACTGTATTTATAAAGGTAGTTGATGATATTTATCATTTGTTTGTATAATAATTTAAAGATTGTGCTACAGTATTTATGTATCATGTTTTAACTAAACCAGTGATATGTAACCGATGTTAAATAACACACAGAGTAGTATTCCTTGCTTTAGACACTTAGCACTATTTAAATAATAGAAGTAAAATAATATATTTTATAAACATGGATTGCATGTTACATCTATGTTAATATGAAAACTAAATATCTTTATAGATAACTACCAGTTCTCATATAATTTACATTTCATAACATGCTGTTTTAAATATCAGTGATTACAGAGCTTGAGTTTGGCCACATCTCTCTTGTAACAAGGACTACTGGTAAAGTTAGATACTTTACTATTGCTATAAAACATGACGTACTGAAGTATTGATTTTTATTACTTGTTTCACATACCCAGAAGTAGTGATTACCAGTTGTGACTTGAGTAGCTACGTTTTATTTATTCGTCCTTGTTTGAGTAGTGTGCTTTATTGGTAAAATAACCCTACATTTTATTGTAGATTATTTGGTTTTGTTCTTATGGGTATTTCTTCAGTTTGATTGTGTAAATGGAGGGGTAACAGGTTATAGAATGGATGGGAAAGAAATTCTTGAACTGTGCTCAGATGGATTGTATATAATGAAATGTTTTGAAGTGATACGCATGTACATCATGTATATGGAGACGTGCATATTTTGTTTCTAAACCTAACATACTATTTAAAAGTGATTTTGAAGTTTGGGTTTAGCTGGATTTGCAGTTTCTATAAGTCTGTTTTTGTTGGTAATCCTATTAAAAATGAGCCAGATGTTCAGGATTCTAAAGAGAATGTACAGTTTTGTTGTTTTTCATGTAATTTTATCATTAATTTCGTATCAGTTAACATTTATGAATATAAAAGAAACATTTTAAAATTAATTATCTGTTAATGAGAATTATAATCCTTCTTTTTTTTACTAATCTACATTTGTCAAAGAAATATAAATGTATTATTAAAATACTGTATTAATTTTCTGTAAGGGTTTATATGTAGCTGTAGCTTCTGTTGTTTTTCTCACTGTATAATTCTCCTGAAAGAGCTCAAAGTATTTTTATAAATATATTACCAAAGACAAATATCATACAATGTTTTTTAAATCAAAAAGAGATAAAAGATAAATACGATTGTGTATTAAAAAGTGTGGTCCTGTGGTTTTTCACCTTTTTTTAAAGCAGATATGTGAAATTGTATTATTCATGTACATACAGTAACTAAAAGTTTTCATTGTTAAAAAATTCAACAAATAGATATAAGAACAACTTCAGTTTACGTTTTTAAGCTTTATCTGGTTGGAACATAACATTATTACTGAGGTATATTTTTACAAGGTCATTTGACTCATTTTGGCAATGCCACAATAAGCTATCATGTGACACTTCAAGAAGCTATGTTTTAGAAATCGTCAGCAAAACTTAACAGGTTTCAAGTTATTAAAACTCAAACCCTTGTTCATCTTTAGGAATTTTATGAACATTTTACTTGGCTTCAGACTTTGTTTAACTTTGGAACAACAGGTCAGTCAGGGTCTGTTCCCTATTATTGGTGGAAGCATTGTCTTTCTCCTCTTGTGGGTGGAGAGGCTTTTTCTAATTCTCCTCTTACAGTTACTGATTAATTTATAAGAAGTTATTAATTTGAACATTGTACTTATTGATATCCATATTAAAACCCATTAGGTTATAGTGTGGTTATTGACCCATCTTTAAGAAGTCATTAGGTAAACAGTATAGTTACAGATGCCCATATTAGAACCCATTAGATTACACTGTGGTTATTGACCCATCCATAAGAAGTCATTAGGTAAACAGTATAGTTACAGATGCCCATATTAGAACCCATTAGATTACACTGTGGTTATTGACCCATCCATAAGAAGTCATTAGGTAAACAGTATAGTTACAGATGCCCATATTAGAACCCATTAGATT